GAACAGAATTATTTAAACTTCCTGCTGGTCGATACGAGACTTCAAACTAAAAATTCAATTTTCAATCATTCTATCCTGCTCTAAAACAGTCAATTACGCCAGTAAAATCGTCTCTATTTTGTTTGCAGTATCGTTCGACACTCTATACGACACAGACATTCGAACGTTCGATTAACCGAGATTCGATTTTATGGATTTTCGTTTATTCGAGCTCCCATTATCCGTAATTCCCGTTTTACGACGTACCAAATCTGTCACCGTATACGATCGCGTTATATTCTTTCAAATAAAATTCATTGTTTCCGGGAACGGATCGGCGTTTCATTCAATAAGCGACGTTCCTACTAAAAATTTCAGCGAAGGTTGAATTTAACGCCTCGTGAAACGCAGAGATACGATCGAACGCGAACGAGTACAACGGAGAAAACAATTATTCAGATGTGATTACTTCGAATCGATAGTTCTGTAATTTCACTGGCGAAAACGTCGCGATACTGACTTCGAACGATGACTTAAGTATTCGAGGGTGGAATCAGGAGTTCGCAAAATGTTATGAAAGCGCTCGAACGTTACGAAAATACTGGAAATCGAATTTCCCCGCAGTCACGGTCACATGCAAAGTATCGCTTCTGTAGAGGGGAAAAGAAAACTCGAGAAATTCTTAGATTAACATACGGTCCACCTCCGGGACGAAACGACTTCTAGATATGCAAGAGTTCCTCGCGTTCCAGAACTCTGAAGACCATCTGTCGTGCGGTTTAAAAATGACATCCGGTGCCATGATTCCCTCCTTCTGGCCGCGGCGACACTTTGCCAGCGAATTATTTGGGTCACGTTACGTGGAACGCGAACGGTAAAAATAGTAACCGTATAGTTGACCGTTTCTGATAAATGACAATGCCCGAGCTGTCGAGTACGTCCGTTGTATCGATTATTGAAAAAATATATCTGTGGGAATATAAGCGTACGCGTCGATGGTTCGAGCCTCGATAACAGGCATTTGGCCATCACTGTTAGAAATGACGTTTGTGAGAATATTACCGATAACCTCCGCTGCGGGTGACTCTCGATGTATATTTACCGGATAATATTGCGTTTATCGATACCAATCTGACGCAATCTACTAAATAACTAGTGTCTATCGGCTGAAACGTTTTGCAATATTTATAGATGCATGTTCCTGGTACGCGTACGAACGAATTATTTTTCCTGTGTCACCCTCGGACGATCACCCGGGGGCTCCGTCATCGGGGAGACCCCCAGCCTCGTAATTTCGTTAATAACTCATTGCTTCGATCAAATTAATACTTTCGATCTCTGTGATCTTACTACACCGGAGACTTCTGACCTTTAATCGATCGAAATTAAGTAATTTAGCGAAATAACACTGTCTCGAAAACACTTTGCACTACGAGAGCATTTATGTATTTTCTAAATTCAGTTTGTGTCATCATAAATGAAACTTCGATCGAGCTATGGTATTATGTTTGTCGCCATGGCGGCGCCAGTCGAGTACAAAGGGTTAACTATGCTCTGTAAAATTTGTCATGCTCCAGAAGATCGCTCAATTAAAAAGGAAGACGAAAGTCGATTTGAAAGTAATTTTTAGCCCGAATAGAAGTATGGCGGATGAGTTTGCAACGCGAACAGAGAGTCGTTATCGCGTTGAACGCGTGCAACAGCCCGGGTATACCTGCGCCCGCACCTGCGAGCCATCGGCATGAATGGAACTTAGCGGGACTCGACGTAGGCCGTGTACGAAAAAAAGAGTGAAAGGCAAGGCCACTTTTGCTGGCAGAAGTCGAAAGCCAGGGGACGCGGAACGACATTGGCATTGGCAATGACCGTTTTTAGCCGCGTACACGCCGCGCGACTTTCCAACCAAGGAAAAGGGTCAAGTGGCGCGGCGACGCTGGAAATTCGTGCGTTCCGTGATTTTCCGCGAGACGAACGATCGAACGCGTCCGTGGGGGTTCGCGGTAAAGATATGCATTATCGCGCTGCTATTAAACCGATACAATCGGATTTTACATAATACGAAACGACGCGTGTATATTTAGCAGATTTCACGTGAACGCGGGTGTAAACATGTCCGGGTCTCCCAAGCGAGCGGTTTCATATTGTTTTGGAGAACCAGTGCACCACAGATTTGCAGGAGCAATTGACAGATGTAAATGGGGTCACAACGCTCTTGGCCAATACACAAAATTGTTGATCCTTTTGATTCTGAGGCCAAACCCTGGGACACAATTGTAATGGAGGATTCTAGAGGCCAGAATAAATTGAAAATCAAGAACACCAATTTGCTGATGGAGGCTTCGTTAAAAAGTTATTAACAATTAAATTCAAACATTTCGAATCGTTCTGGAAAAATTATTTTCAATTGCGGGGGTTAATTACAATCATTTTTTGTGAATAGACATAACCCCGAAATCCTACACAGTTTCGAGAAAAAAATTCGAGAAGGTGTGAAATTTTTCGACGAAATTGAAAAATTTCAAATCGCTCTCAAAAAATTATTGTTGGTTGCAGGAGTCAATTACAATCATTTTTGGTGAATAGACATACCCCCGAAATCCTACACAGTTTCGAGAAAAAAATTCGAGAAGATGTGAAATTTTTCGACGAAATTGAAAAATTTCAAATCGCGTTCAAAAAATTATTGTTGGTTGTAGGAGTCAATTTTAATCATTTTTGGTGGATAGACATACCCCCGAAATCCTACTCACTTCTGAGAAAAAAATTCGAGAAGGAGTGAAATTTTTCGACGGAAAAAAAAATTTCAAATCGTTTTGGAAAAATTATTTTCGGTTACGGGGGTCAATTATAATCCTTTTTTGTGAATAGACATACCCTCGAAATCCTACACAGTTTTGAGAAAAAAATTCGAGAAGGTGTGAAGTTTTTCGACGGAAAAAAAAATTTCAAATCGTTTTGGAAAAATTATTTTCGTATGGGGGGTTCGATTACAATCATTTTTGGTGAATAGACATACCCTCGAAATCTTGCCCATTTTCGAGAAAAAAATTCAGAACGGGCGAAGCTTTGAACGTTAATAACTTTTTAACGAGGCCTCCATCAACAAACTGGTATTCTTGATTTTCGTCTTATTTTGGTGTCTAGAATCGCCCGTTAAAATTTTTCCCAGGTGTGGTCGAATACTAACATTTCCTAATTTATATTGCGTCGAGTATCAGTCAAAAGTCGTTTTAGTTTCCCACCCACGACCCACAGGTGGGCCCACCCTGTGGGAAGCCAACGAGTTAATAACGCTCGAGGGCAACGAAATTAAAACTTCTGCGTTCGCGGCCGCGTAAGAGATTAAACGCGCTTAATCACATTTCCAGCCGATAAAAAGAATCGCGGAAGTTCGGGACAAGCGTGAAACGAAATAAAAGCCGTGGAAATCGAGTTTCGGCCCCGCGATGGCAAATAGTTCGTTGGATCGATCGAAGCTAAAACTAACCTTGAGCGAAAACGTCCTGACGATTTTTGTCGCAGCAACAAGTTGGTGGGTGGGATCGCGCGCCCTGCCTTCGAACCTGGATACGCATTATTGTAATATTCAGAGAGATGAATTCAAACCTGCCTACAGCGTTTATACCGGTTTAATATAAATCCGTCCATCGACTGAGCGATTATGACGAAACTGGATCCACGGGTTGTAAAAAAACAATTATGAATCGAATAATTCGCTTCAAATTACTTTCGATTCTGCTTTAATTATACGTTTAAACGATGTCCCGTTTCACTGTGTTATTTGTGAAATACAACGAGAAGTTTAGAAAGGAGCACGTTTTCTAAACGTGCCAATTAATTTACGCTTGGAAACGAAACGTATCAAATGGCGACTGTATTATCGTATAATGAAACGTAATAATTAGGGATTCTGATCGACTGTGAATAATACAATTTGATTAACATTTGACAATCTCCGATGGGCGATTCTATTTAGTCGCAAAATCCCATTAATTTTCTATTCTCCATTGTATATTAATTTCGATAGAAAATGTAAAATTTCATTGGCATTCGTATTATAGTTTGCTTGCATTGGTTTTCACTTTTACTTTTGTATTTGTTAGTTTAGATGATTTTATATTTCCTAGAAAGAGTCATCTGGAAAAAAATTGTTATTATTTTAGGTAAATAAATTTCCTTAAATTAATGAATTTTATTGTAATTTCTACGTGTTTATACAGAGACCTCGAGACAAAATGCAACAATTCGTGTTGCCTTATAGTTGGTATTTTAAACGTTCCCTGTGAAAATAATTCGAAATAAAGACGAGAGGAAAAGCATGTCCGTTTAATAATGTAACACAGAGAGTCGAGTGGCCCTCGATTTTATGTTAGCCAGCCCTCCTTTATTGCGTCATTAATTAACGGAATGATCTGAGACGGTGCGTAAACCTCGCCATAAAGGTTAGTACAGAAGGGACCCTAAAATTAAGTGATTCACTCGCGTCGACAAAAAACCTGTTATCGCTTCTATTGGCGATACGATAACGACATAAAAAGAAATTAATTCCAAACACTTCGCGCCACGATGGCGGTTCTTAACGGGAAAAATCGTCATAAAACCGTACGATTTCAATTAAAAATCACGTAAAATAAATCTCGGTATTTATAGCCTGAAAATACGTAACCGATAAACACCTACTCTACTCCATTTTGCGCCGAAATGATCGATTTCACTTTTACTGCTACTAGTGGCGATCTCACTAAACGAAAATATTTAATTTTTAAATATACATGTTTCTGTTAACTATTTCGAGATCGTCCCGAGTCGTGCTCGCGCTCCAAAACGAATAAAAAGCAATCGGAGCGGGTCAGAGACGCTCATCGCGCTCGATTCTGCGATTCGACCATTCGTCCACGCTAATTTGCACGAAAGAAATCGACGCTGTCATGGACGGAAAACGTCCGCGGCCGTAACCATCGCCTCCACGAAATTCGAAGGACGCGCCGAACCGACCGAAAACGTGTTCCGAAGAATCTTACCTGAGACAAGTCGGAGTCGTCGCGGATCTTGGCGTCCATGGTCGTCTGGCTGGCGATGGTTCCGGTGATCACGAGGATCGCGGCGAACAGACAGCCGGCGGACAGCATCGTTCCCCGTGAAAATGTTCACTGATCGAGACGAGGAGTGTCACGCCTGCCACCGAAACACACAAATACCACTGTTTTAGTCGCAGGCTCGACGAGTTACGTGCACGTCGTACGGCACCGTGAACGATCGAGATCACCGATCGATCGAGTCTCGTTTAAATGTCAGCGACCCAACGGTCGCTCTGCACGCGGCACTGTCCGATGCACGCGTGATCGAGGGAATGGATCTCGCGGGTTTCGCGATACGACGTGGAATATCGCGTGGAAAGTCGCGTTGCCGCGAGAAACCGTTGGATCCCGAAGGATCGAGACGAGCCACGACAGAAGGCAAAACGTTACCAACCGACTCCGCACTCTTTTCGTAGGACGTGTCAACGATACGGAGGATGGCGCGGAACTGCGCCCTCTTCATGCCTGGACCCCCCTAGCCCCCACCACACCGCCGCAACGAGTCTTCGGTATACCGTGCCGTCCTCTCCCCTCTTACTCGGCCGACTTTCCCCCTCCAACGCGGTTCCCGGTTCCCCTCGCTCGCTGGCGACACACATTCCACACACCCGCACCTAGCGACTGCCGACGGTCATTCGATTCCCTCTTTTCCTGCCGCTGGATTTGCCGAAAATTTATTTCGAATCATATTTTTGGTGTAAATATTGGGAATAATACGGGGAGCCCGGACGTTTGACGAGCAACCGGCCACTCCGAGCGGAGCGAATTGATCGAAACGAACGATCGCGGGGAAGGAGGGGAAAGAAAGAATGGAGTATGTAAACGATTTATCCTTGGGAGCTATTGAAAGTTCCTGTATCGGTGCAAGTTATTGGAGGATAATTGAAAATTTGGTAGAAATGCATTCGACTCGGGGGGGGGGGGAGGAAATATGGGAACGATACGTTCGCTGTTTTACGAATGAATAATTTCGAAAGGAAGAAAGCACGTTTTAATGCTGAATTATTTTACCTACTGTTGTTGAGTGCAACTGATCGAGATCAAACATCGAGTGCGGATGTTTATTTCAATAAAATATGTCGAAATATGTAAGTGACGTATGTCAAGTATGTATCAATAATATACCAAACTATGCAGGAATATGCAAAATATGCTCAAATAATTCTATCACTTAAATATAATTTAAATTATAAAATGTTACTAGTATTTTTTCAATATCGTCAAAAGTTAGTTGACTCTTTAACAATCTGACCTCATGAAATTTATTTCTGTATATACCAAGAATACTTCAAAATTACTGATTAATACTATTCTTAGCATCTATGAAATGTTACCATTAATGATTCACGAGATGCATAAATAGCTACGTTACCAGGCCTGCCATGACTATCCTATACGAACGTTGAATTAGTTTAGAGAGAATTAGTAGACTGAAATAGATGTTCAGAAGCCTATATGAGGATTAATTTTATGAAAAGAAATGCAATAAACATACATGACATATGCAGTATATTTCGACATATATTTTTAAGGGCCTCTAGTGATGAAACAAACTTCTATTTAGATTCCAATCTTTTATCTATTTCCTAGAATGCATTTGCATGAACATCCGTACGAAAAAAATAGATTGAGAAGAATCGAAGCATCTTGGGGCCATTATTGCTCCTCAACGAGCACAGCCCGGAGCAGATGACGTCATCCACACCCGCTGATCCACCCCCTACTTGACCAATCATCACGAAATCTCTAATTGCGTCCGTACACAAAGAGTGACATCACTGCAAACTTTTCTCGTTCCACGATGGCCCTCCAAAGTCTCTGCCTTTGCTTTGCCTCGTCCGTGAACTCGAGCCACGTGGAGTACCACAAAGTTGCGCGATTGTTCCGCCCTGGTGCGTTTCTTTTTTGATTTATCAGCCCCGAAACGCCGGTGCGCGTCAAGCAAGAGTGACACCGAACGAATAGCAACATTTTTCACGCGATCTTGTCAAAAGACACGCGCCCACGATCCGAAGACGAGTAGCAGGAGGTCCCAGCCGGTGCACGGCGATCGTAAACGCAGGACTAAAGTACACTCATTGCCATTAATTAATTTCGGCTCCACAGTCACCGACCTTCCGTTTTAGAGCGCCCTTAACCCACGCGTTCATGGTCGCGACTTCCGCCATTAATAATTCGACGAGCAGTCTCGAAATTGCTCTTTAACTCTGGGAAGATTCGGGGAAACGTTGAATTCCGGAAGGAAACTCTTCTCATAATAGAATGCAAATGAAAGAAAAGAATCTTAGCGGACCTTGGTTCCTGGAATTATTAAAGGGATATTTTGAAAGGACCTCCGGTGAATTACGACGAGAAAAAAATCCACGTTAAAACTCTGTAGCGTCGAGTCAGAAATTTTCTGACCCAGTCGCGTCCTGCTCGAAGTCGATATAATTGTAAACTCGATCGAAAGTTCACCGGGGCGTTTCCCAAGTGTAGTGGACTTAGACCGATTCTCGAAACCTCCCGGGGCAACGAGGATTAAGGAAAGATCCTGATCGCGAATATAAACGCAAAGGGGGTTGCCGGAACTTCCCTATTGTGCGCCCGGGCTCCAGTTGTACACCGAGAGTCTCGCTAAGTTTGTCCCAATCCCCCAGGTAATTAGTACTCCAGATACCCCTATTTGACCTCGCCAACGATCCAATTTGGGGTTACTTAAGCGAGTATCCACCGCGTACTTTCCGCGATGACTCGCCCCGAACGAAACCATCGGCTTTAAAATATTCAGCGCCGTCAGATCCAGAAGTTCAATGGGTTATGCCAGGTCAAGGGTTAGGAACCCGCGGTCTAAATGTCACACGCGACGTTTTAGACTACCGTGATCCGTATTTGTCACTTCGCGATTCATTCTATCACTCGAGAGTAATTAACACAGTACTGCCTCCCTTTTTGTGATTTAATTGGAACCGATGAATTTATATCGATTGCAAAATTATAAAAGTTCTCTAATGGAGAAGGTCTAATAAGAATATAAAAAAAGGGAAAACTTGATACGATCGATAGTTTCGAAAATAAAAATTGAAAGTCGAAACTAGGAAAATGAACCACAGTACTGGCTTCCTTTTTGCAATTTAACTGAAATCGATTGCAAAATTACAAATGTTCTCTAATGGAGACTGAAAACTAGAAAAATGGTGACTTAAACGTCTTCTGGTAAAAAAAGTTGGATAGTATTGCGATCCCACGATTCGAAATTTCCGTTCGAACGATTTCCACGAATAGGTACGCTTATCTGTTGGCGTTCTAAAACAAAAATCGATAATCTGGGGGTGCTAGCGACCGACAGCCATCGATCACGTGACGTTACACGGTCGATCGAGCATCGCGCCAAACACTTTGCAGTCTTTTCGATCGCGATACAGCAAAATGCACGCGTGTGCGGTTTATTTAAGTCCCTGGATAAAATCCTGATGCGGTTTAGGGACGCGAGTCTGACGAATTCGGGAATCATCGACGAGTTTCTGTCCGCGGGACCAGCGAGAACAGAAGTATTTAAGCGACGTTGGACGAACATTTCCACAGCGATTCTGCGCGAATCGCAGTTTAAACTTGAATTCTTTTTTAACACGTTGACCACCGAGCGAAATTGCAACGACTTTCCCCACAGCGACGCGGTCTTCCAGAATTTTTATTTCGAATAAAGCTTTACAGAGCTCGCGCCATCAATCTGTCTGCGGTCTACCTTATCTGGCTCGCCTGTTTTTATCCATATTTCATTTAGAACACGATTTTACAACGTTCTTTCATTTCAAACATTATTTTCAAAGGATTTATTATTTTTATAAAGTATATTAATATCAATTCATTTTTAATTTTTTAAAGGACTCCACTGTATCAACTAATTCTGCAATGTCAGAGTTATTCGCTCGAATTATCGAGCACAAGTCACTGATAATATTTTATATCGCAATTTTATGCAGTCTAACTTTCGAGCAGGGAAAATGCAAATACATGACATTTTTCTTGAAACGTTAATAAACAAAGTAACCTTAGATTCCCATACGGAAAAACGAACCGATAGCTTTGAGAACGAAACGGGGCGAAAGCAAAGCAAACCGACGCTTCGGCCCTCGCGCCGTGTGCGTTCAAAGCCCGTGGAAATTTCCTTTAAACATTTTCTGTACATGACAAGGAACGCATGGAGCGTAAGGACAGGTCGGCGAGCTTTCTCGCGGAGAACAGAGGTCCCTGGACTTTCAGACGAAATGTACTTCGCGGAGAAAAGGCAAGATATGCCTTGACACACTTCAGCGTAACCATTTCTGCGACGAGAATACCGCACCGGAAGCCCCCTCGGGGAACACCCCGCAAGATGCAAGGAGTCCAAGTTTGCCAACGTTACTTGCTACTTCCGGTAAGGAAGAACGCGCCTAGATTATGGAGCAGCGGGGGTGAACGCGAACCGTGGCGGTCGAGGGGTTGCAGGGGGAGGTACATTGAGAAACGTATTTGTAAACATACATCCTACCCATGAGGCTCGAGCAACCCGTGTCGCAGTAAATCCCGGTACATTAATATTAATGCTTCTTCGGCATGTACAGCACCCGCGCCCTATCCTCCGGTTCGTTCTCCGCGTCGCAGAAAGCACGAGAGTTCAACAGAGTTTACAGCAACCACGAGCACGCAGCACCTACTGGGCTCTTCAGGATATCTGCGATCCATCCCCCTCCCCCCTGGCTCGAGTGCCTCTTCACAGCACTCGTTCGCCCCGAAAATTAGGTCCTCTTCGCTTCGCCGAGCAAAGCCACCAGTAACCAGGGACTTATTTTTTTTTTTTTATTTTCTTCACGGTTTAATCCCCGGGGCAATTATCACGGCGATCTTTTAAATGTTTCGACCGAAAGTCCAGTCGAAACATTGACCCCGTCGCGGAGCCAATTTCGAGTGCATTCTGTTCGCGAAGTATTTGCTCCGTGGATCTTTTCGTTATTGGATTAATTCTGAACGACAACCGCCCCGGGATTATGCGTTTAATTTACGGGAAAAGTCTAGTTACGGATCATGAATCCATTCTACGGTGCTTTGCAAGCATTATGAAAACACTCCGGTGTATTACATTTGCATACGCGCGCGTTCCGGAGCCTCTTCGGAAGCGGCGCGCGAATCTGTCACATAAAATAACCATATTTTTCGACACGTGAAACCGCGATATCTTTCTGTCCGTCTTGCCAGCACTGTTCTCGAACACGGATTCCCCTGACTCCGGGAAATAATGACGATTCGGATCCTTGCGCCCCTCGTCGACTCTTTCGATCGTTCTTCTAATCTATGGTCTCTTTATCGAATAAAAAAATCGTGGACAAATTTTATTAATAATTTTTAATTCGAGAAGGTGTGAAAATTTTCGACGGGAAAAAAAAATTTCAAATCGTCTTGGAAAAATTATTT